ATGCATGTCACCTTTTGAGTACATTAATCTGCAATTGCTGGTAGGTAACTCTTCTGAAATTTCCAGAGAGTTTTAAAAGAATTCTGAGAAATCATATAAATTCTTTATTTAGGACCTGCATACATTTTGTTAGTTGACATTCTTTTTCCATTGACAATTTTGTTTTCTATTTTTTACTGTTTCTCGAACTTCCTTTTTTTGCTTGCTTTTCCAAGTCACCTTGTGAACATTTAACCTGCAAGAAGAAATATTCCTTTCCATGAGAAATAACATTTTCTTTTTTGGGTCTTTACTCTTTAGGCTCTGTAAGGAGTTTATATGCCAGTAATAGTTCAAAATAAGCTGTTTAGTGTTATTTCAGTATGCTTCTATATGACTCCGATATACTAGAAAGCATCCCGGATATAAGTAAATTCAGATTTTACAGAGATTCTAAGTTATTCAATCCTCATTATCATTCTATCATTTGTTTTTTTTTTTCCTTTGAATCAAGTGAAAACTTTTTACGCGCATGAAACACTATTTTAAGTATCTGAAATCTCATATAAAATCAGTCTGAATTTCAACAATGTTAACGGCGAAATTCCTGCTCCATCTATTAATGGAGGGGAACAGACATCAATAGTTACTCATTCCCTTTCTTTAGCTGTGTCAATCCAAACTATTCAGTACAGAATGAGCACATATGGAAATATACATAATAGCCAACTAGCTTAACCACTTATGGGAATTATCATAAACCCAGAAAAATATAGCAGCTGAAGGTATCAGGGTTGAGGATTCCTAACATGACAAAAAGGTCAAAGACTCAAAATTATCCCTAATCTATAATGTCACGTGAAACTTGGCCATCAGCTTTTGGTACAAACCTTGAGCTTTATTTGTAACCTCGTATTCTTTGCTCGAAACTATCAGACACCCTATCTTTACTTCTCTCAGAATCAGAAACTGCTACAACTTTTTTCCTCATATGCATCCTTCTCTCCTGAGCATTAGCAGCTAATTTTCTAAATTTTAATCTATCATCAACATAGAGTTTTGTGATAGTTAAGATAAGCTTTACCTTTCTTTGAATGTTTTTAGTATAGTTTTACATAAAGTAGCCAAAGACATCTGAAGCCATTCAGTTGAAAACATTAATCAGTGACTTTACGATTACCTTCACCACACCACACAATTCCATCGTGCAACATACCGAGCACAAGGAAACAAAATAAATAAAAAGACCTCAGCCAAATCCACCCAAGTGTGGACCCCTAATCAACACTGTACATTCAATATTTATGCCAATCAACTTTGGTTGATTTTTTGCACAAAGCCCCGAACTTTATAAATCGTAGCAACTCCCCGAACTTTCAAAATTACAATAAACCGCCTGAATTATTGGAAATTGTTGTAAATGGCAGTTAAGTAAAAAAGAAAATCTAAACTGCTATTACTTACATTTTACCTAGCCATACTCGAAAAGTGTAATCTATAAATTGTATTTAGCAGATAGGGGCAAAAATGTCCAAATGTTGTCATGAGCAGAGCACATGGCAACTTATAGTAATTTTCGTTAGTTATGATATGCTGAGGCAAGGTTAGAGGAACTAATTTGATTTTGTATGAAATCCCCAACTTTCATTTTTTTCCCTCTTGAAGTGAACATTTAATTTAATGCATTCTACTTGGAAAGACATCAGCATCTAAAATCGATAGTCCCTTTTTCTGTCAGGTGGTAGAACTCGTAACGAGAGCTGTCCCTCTCGCACTAACACCCGAAGATGATCCAAGAAGAGAAGAACTGAAACAACTACAGAAGAAAAAGGAAGAGATCGATATGCTTGCACACAAACAAGTTCGCAAAGTTCTCTGGTCAGGTCTAGGCCTAATAGTACTCCAAGGTGGCCTTTTTTTCCGTCTCACATTCTGGGAGTTCTCTTGGGATGTCATGGAACCAATCACGTACTTTTGCACGACTGCCAGCGCAGCTATCAGCTACTTTTATTTCCTTATCACTTCGAGGGACCCAACTTATCAAAATTTGCTTACGAGGATTTTTCTAAAGAAACAGAAGAATTTGTATCAGAAGAAGGATTTTGATTTGAAGAGGTTCGAGGAGTTGCAGAGGCATTGTAAGAGCCCTTTGGATCATAGAGGAGAGAGCGAACTGGATGCGATTTATGCAATTTATAAAAATTGATTTTTTTTACCCCTCAAGGGTCACTGTTATAGAACTAACACGCTTGTTGTTCTCCCAATTTTTTATTGCTGTTCAATCAAATTTCTGTTAAATTGTGAGAAACAGCAAGTCAAGTTTTGTATCTTATACGAAATTCCTTCACAATACAAAGTGCTTACTACAAAATTTGCGGTGTCTCTCATTTCCTCCTTTAACTGCCATTTTGCTCTTGCTATTGTGAATTGTGTTCTATGAACAGTTTGTTACTGAATTCAACAATGCGGCTTATGAGAGAAGAGGCAAGGAATTAGTGAGGATTGATGCTGTAGATGATAGTTGATGGTTTTCATGATCAGATATCGCAGGTAACCTACGAAGTCTTTGTTGCTTTCCATTTCAGTGTTAGGAGTTAATTGCAGCTAGAACCCCCGTACTATCGCCCAATTGCGGATAGACTCCCTGTAGTTCAATTGTTGCAGATAGAAAAACCTTTGGCTCTTTTACCCTTATAGAAAAAGAAAAATTGGTTTTCGACACTATTTTGGGTATTTTGGGTTAGCTGACAAGTATTATTTATATTTCCTAATTTTTTTGGATTTGTTCATAATGGGCCGGACTTCTTTTGAGGCTTTGTGAAATTTACCCTTTATGTTCTAACTTACTCGCTGGGGGGCTTCATGCTACAGCATGATAAATCTAAATGATAAGTTCAGAGTAATTTGGCCTTGAAAAATACAGTCTTGTAGATATATTAACGACTCAATTTTGTATAAATTGATCCAAGTGTGAACTTAGCAATTTGCTCAAAAAACAAGAATTTGATGCAAGTATGAACTTAGCAATTTGCTCAAAGAAAAAAGTGTAACTGATAGGGGTAGCACCAGATCTAGATCCAACATTGACTTTAGTAATTGAAGTTTCTAGTCAAAGAAGTCAATAATGAACTTAAAGAGATTAAAATTTATGCAAGGCATATGAGATGGAAGTTAGGATTGTATAGGTTAATTGGGTTATTGATCATTGTATTTTATCTCTTAGTTGGACTTTTCATTCCTATGTTTTAATTGCTTAGATTGTCAGTCATGTAATTAAATACTAATTGAATTGCCAATTACTAATGCTTTCTGTCAATTGTCAATTTTAGTTGTATTTTTTCATTTTTAAGCAGTAAAACTTACTTGATATGTCCCAAACTAATATTTTTAAGATCAATGTCATATTCAACATAACCACTCAGCACAAGTTGTCTGATATATCACAAATTTTTATTTCCATAAGTGATCAAGACATTAAACATATGAAGAGATCTCTTATGTCAAATGCTCAAAAAACAATTATGTCACGTTACCAAAGTTCATTATGTCAATTGACGGAAATCATTAGAAGTAATTAAGGTCTAATTAGTATTTAATGATATGACCAGTTATCCAAGCAATTGAAATTCATGTGTGAACGTCCAATTAAGTGATAACTACAGTGACTACTGATCTAATTAACCCACATGGCAAATTTTTATTCAGTCTAACATAAGATCCTAATCTAATCTAAATAAGCTACTTCCATATGAAATATCTTGCGTTTCAGATTTTTATTTTCGGGTCAGTGAGATCTTAATTCCATCTTAATCCGGTTCATGCTCAGAGATTAGACTTAAATTTAATTTTTCGCTTAAAATCTAAATCAGATCTTTAGATTTTTGGATGCATGTGTATCTCAACTCTACAGTCGTGGTATACTTAAATTTGGTATTTCAGTAATGTAGCTCCAAATTCTACTAAAATAATTCAGATGACTACTGAATGCCAATATTAGGGCTATGCAAACGGTCGGTCGGTTCATTTTTTTATCAAATTTTAAACAATCGAACCGAACTGCCTATTAGTAAAAACTGAAACGAACTGTTGCAAGTCGGTTTAGTTTGGTTTGTTCAGTTCTAATCAAGATGCATTCAAATGTTATAGACAAATTTATTCATGTCTATTATACAACATTTTCTTTTGCTTTATTCACAACTTATATAGGTACTAACATGCAATGATTTTGAAGAAAAAGCACTAATCTAATCAAGATAAACCGATAAATAAGGGGAAACATCACATGTGCAGCAACAATCTGCTACAACTTAAAACAAAACAAAAATACATGTGATCTCCCCCCCTGAAAGGCATAAATTTAAAATTAGGGTTTTCAGTTTATACCTCCACTACGGGTGCGGATGTCTCCAAAGCAGGAGATGGATCGGCATTAGCCATGAAGATGATGATGAGTGGTTGTGACGGCAATAAAGAAAATCGAGTCGGCGGCGAGTCAGAGGTGACGTCGGCGAGTCGGAGGCGACGACGATGAAGAAAATTCGAGTTGGCGGAGAGGCGAGTTGGGAAGTCAACTCGAGAAGCTGCGCCTACGATCTTGTTTTTTCTTCTGAGGCTACGTTGTGCGGTCTTCGATTTAAGGTTTAGGTCTGAGGGAATCAATTATCAATGAACGGGTTGGGTTTGGGTTTCTAATGGGTACGGGTTAAAAAAATATCGGGTTACTAGTGATGCGGTCGGTTCGGGCGGGTCGGATTGAAAAGTTTTCAACCCGATCCGAATCGATCTACAAAGAAAACCAACACGAACTACTAATTTTCGGTTGGTTCTGTCAGTTTTTTGGTCTGGGCCAAACCATGCACAGCCCTAGCCAATATATATAATTATTAACTCATTGTTGGTGTTTTATTTTTCATTCTTTGTCGCACGATTTTAGTTCTGGTTTCTTTTGTTTGTAGCATGTTCATTTATATTCATTTGGGTTGTTCCTTTAAACTACACGGTTATCGAAAACCTTTTGGCAATATAATATAAATTCAACGGGCTAAATATAATTTTTTTTAAACATAAGTTTGGATTATCAGAAAATCCCTTGTAGTTTGAAATTTCATTAGATAATCTTTCCAATAGTGTTAACTGCAATTTTCACTGATAAAAAAAAAACCCTCTCAGCCTAACTTTACTGCCCACGCTTAGGTCACGGTATCCTGATATTTAGCCTGATATATAGAGTATATTCCTAATTGAAACCCTATACAGTAGGTTTTCTACACCGCCTAACTTAGTTGGAAGGGGGGTTTCTGTATTTTTTTGAAAGTTAAGGGGGGTTATCTCATATTCGGTCGTCGAAGCTAAGGGGTTTTTCTGATATCTAGCCATTCCGACGATCGATATTCAATGCGGCGACTGGTTAACAGCTAGAATTATGATGAATTTTTCTCCGATTCGATAGCGAAGGAATCGACTTCGTCAGATTTTATTATTGTTGGCAACGTGCGTGGTACGAGTTTGAATGTGCTCGTATGCTGCCACTCGCGCATTGTTGGTCGAACGTTAAGCGTCCTTGTCATGCAACACTGGCAAGATGCAGCTGACATCACGTTTGTACAAGGACATTTTGAGATGATTTGACAGGAATATTATTAATTTCGTTAAGCTCTTCCTCATTAAATTTGCAGATAACCCTCTCAATTGCATCTCCAGTATCTACCGTCATCTCTTCAAGTATTTAATGGACATTAGGGCGTCTCACTTAATCCTCCTAAACACTACATCCTCTGATGCTGTTCCCTCTTAATCGCGAAATGATCAAAGTGTCTATTTTGCATTTGTTATGGGCTGCAAAATAGCCAAGTGTTAATCCATGCTGGGAAGCCGACACGTGTCACACCCCGTGTTTGAGAAGATTATTCCAGAGGCTGACGGTTCTAGTTGTTTCAACGGCCGACAGCTTGTGTGAGCGACCAGAAAAATGATACTTGTTGACCTATTCTCCAGGTCGAGCGCACATGATTACACACTCGACCCTCTATTTCAACCGACTATTTGCGTAACCGACTAAGAAGACGGTGTTTGTCGGCCTTCGGCCAGACAACTAAAGAGGCGGTGTGCTCCAGACGACTACCATCGCCTTAAGTACACTGCCAAAGTCATTATTGCTCTAGCTCTTATAGTCTTTATAACCCATCGGACATAGTCAGCACTGAGCACCCGCTGTCGCCCTCACATTAAACGTTTTGGATGATTCACCTTCTTCAGCGGCCGACACCTGTAAGGTGCCTGCTGATTTAGCTGCCTGTTTGGACTCTGTCAAATTTACTTATCTACCCTCCCCATCTACTATAAAAGGAAGCTGTGCAGCCTAAGGTAGCTTCTTCTGCTTCCATGCAACTCTGAACCTTTCATCACCACTTATTTCTTATTTTCCCACTCAAGTTGAAACGCTGAGTTGATCGTCGGATGAACAACCGGAGACCCCAACTCCGGCCTCTCATGAGCTTTTCGTGTGCATGAGAGAACACCGAGCTCCAGAATCAGGCATCTGAAGGAGTTTGAGAACCCTAACACCATTATAATCTACATATAAACACCCTGTTCGATAACTGACATTAACATAGATATAACCCCAAAAAATGAAAAAGAATAAGGGGATAAATTTTTTAATGAACCGAGGAATATTTTTGTTCTTTGTTGTCACGTGATTGGCGTCTAACCCATCAAAGTTCACGGTGTTGCCACTGGAGACGTTAACTAAGACAAATTTGGAGGGTTTAAACATAATTTACTCTTCAATTTATCCATCTCAAAATGCAATAATTCTACTATGTTACTATGTGGTATGAAGAAACCTAATAATAGAAGGTTC